GTGGGCGGGGCCTGGGAGGGGGCAGGAGATGAGTGGGGGCGGCAGAGCCTAGGAAGGGGGAGGGGGAGAGGTCAGAGCCAAGCCACCCCCACAGCTCCTGACAGAACCAGAAATTCCAGCAGAGCAGAGGCGGGAGAGACAGAGAAAGAGAGACATACATACAGAGACAGAGAGCTACACACAGCCAGAAAGAAGAGGGGGCACACACACTTGGATATGGAGCCCTCGTATACACACGGTGGGCAGGAGTCAGTAACGCAGTCCATCAAGCTCCTCTCTGCAGCCTTCTCTAGCCCTGCCTCTGTTCTCAACCACCTCCCTCTGCAGTGTCCACCCCACAGTCTCCTAAACTACCCCTTCTCCTTGCAGAGTTCGAGGACGGGCTGCTGGATCGATGCCCTGCCCCAGGACCCCACCCAGCTCTGGTGGAAGGCCGCAGAAGCAGCGTGAAAGTGGAGGCTGAGGCCAGCCGGCAGTGAGGGGTGGACTGGTACCCTCTCACCCAGGCCCTGGGGTTCTGGCTCCCACAGATCCCTGCTCTCTCCATCTCCGGTCTCTCGTCACAATCTGGATCCTTCCGCTGCCCTTCTCCTGCCTCCCCACTTGCTCCATGGGCATAAAACTATGGGGCTTCAAGCAATAACGAGCAGGGGCCTGGCAAGAGGACACAACGAGGGCGCGTTCTGCCCCTCACCCTTGCCCACAGCACGGGGACAAGGACTCTGCCTCCAGGGCATCTGGAGTTCTCCCCTCACACACCACATTCCCATTCCCTCTAGTGTGAACCAGTGGTGTGAGCAGTTGGACTCAGTTTGGATGTGGGGGAAAGGGGAACTTCCCTGGGAAGGTCCAGCAGCTAAAAATGGAAATGTTTCCCCCCAGAAATGGGGGCCTGGGGACACTGGACCTGCTCTTCCTCCCCTCTGCTCCCCCATTTTTGTGCTTCTAGTTTGTTTCTTTAATTTAACAAGTGCCGCAGTTCACCCTCCCATGCCCATCTTTTCCCCCCAAGTCCCAGCAGTTCTTTTCCTCCTGTCCTGCCCTCTCTGGGGGTGGGGTGGGGGGGGGTGGATGTGGGGTCCCTTTCATCAGCCCCCACGGGAGGCCTGGGTTGGACTCAGTGTCTCCCGCAGCTGGGGGCTGGACCACAGCATCTGTCTGAGCAGTTAGAGCGTTTTTCTTTTCAGATCGTGTACAGTAGATTATTTATTTTGTTATTTTGGAATAAAATTTATTTTATGGCTTATGATCTATGGCCCCCAAGGGGGAGAAGGGTAGTATGGGAGTGGAGGAAAACTGGCGGTGGCTGGGGAAGTAAAAAAGAAGCAGCGGGGAGGGTCCCTAATACATGGAGAGGACCACACCTGGGCCGGCCCCAGACTCACCCCTGCCTTGGGCGGGACTAGCAGTGAGCCACGGAAGCTAAGCCATAGGCGATGTCACAGCCAACATAGACCTACCTGAGCACAGTCATCCTCAAAGCTGAGTGTATCTGGGCTATTAGCATGTATCAGAAGCTCGCACACTCACCAGTGTCTTTTGTGCAGTGTCTCACACTTCAAAAATGGTGTTTTCACAGGTAGAATCAGATAATGTCCTATGTGGCTATACGACTAATGTGTGTGACATCTATATGTTAATGTGTCTCAAGTACACACACCTTAACACAGCTAGACACCAAGATACTCGGCCGTGTACTTCTGCACCATTTCATACACAACTGAAAGCCCCCATCTGACTGTCAGGAATCTGGAGTTGTCTGGGATTTGTTTTTTAAATCTGGGCAAAACCCACCCATCAGTAGCCAAACGTACAGGCCCCTCTTGTCCTCCCACCCAGGGTCTCCTGAACGGCTTCCTCATGCCCCCAGGGCTGGGACCCAGCCCCTCCCCTCTTACATCCCAGCCTCTAGTGCAAGTGTGTGCACATGTCTGCTTTTTTTCTACATGTGCATCCTGGGTCCTGGCTGGGAGTGAGAGAAGGAGCTCTCCATGCCCTAACCTGTGCTCTTGCTCAGCCCCATCTCAGGGAGAGCTGTGTGTTCTGCGTGTGCAGGCATGCAGGGGCGTGTCTCACTTTGGAACCTGAATTTCTCTCCCAGCACAGCAAGGGAGAGGACGGGGGTGAGTGTGTGGTAGGAAGGAAGGAGTGGATAGGCTCCACCGGCGGTGCCTTCTCCTGGCAAAGTCTTCCTCCTCACCAGGGAGTAGGTGGGGCTGGGGGGACACGCTCTCCATCTGTTGCTTAGCAGGAGCATGGGCAGGTGTCCAGAGCAGGTCCACCAGGGTAGAAAAGCTGTCTCTCTGAGCTCCCCCTCCAGCTGGGATCACCAACTGGGGTTGGCCCTTAGGTCCATATGGGACATTGAGATCCCAGACTGCCCATAGGGATTGGGCTGCAGGAGAGGCTGGGCTCCCAAGGGCCCTCCTGCCGATTCCCCTTGCCCCTCCAGGAGAAGCTTGGTGAGGTCCTGTTCAGTGGGCGGCAGCAAGGGCGGGAACATGTCTTCACCAACCCTGCCAGGAGGAAGGAGGGAAACAGGATAGGCATGGCACCCACTCCTCTAGCCCACGCTCAGCCGCCACCCCCAGGCTGCCACTCACCAGGTGCGCTGAGAGAACCCCCCCACCGGCTGGCTCAGGCAGTTCTCTTCTGCCATGGTCACATCAGAGCAGAGCAGGGGCTCAGGGCTGGACATGGCATGCTCCTGAGGCTGGCACAGCAGCAGGCCCCTGCTGGGACCAGAAAAGTGAGTGACGTGGTGGGTGGGGAGTGACGCGGGAGTGAATGGGGCGCATGCGATCGGGATGGGGAATGTCACTCACTGAGGGTGAGACTGGTCAAAGGGCAGGCTCATCTGGTCCAGGCTGGGGGACATCTGCAGGTGAGGTCTGGAAATGGGAAGAAGGGTACAGGCAGAGAAAGGAGAGCTGAGCAAGAGCTGGGTGTTACAAAGCCAAGACCACTGAATAAACAATGTTCTACTCCTTATCCTGACTAGAGCCAACCGTCTCTACAACGTGAACTCCGTCTTCCCAACCATAAAGTGTGTTCTGGGGACTGGGAGGAGGGGGAGATGGGGACTGGATTACTCGTTTCTGATGTTTATTTGGACTCTGAACTTTGGTGGTTCTGTGTCTCCCACCTCAACTCCTGGGAGAGAGATGTTATGTCTTGACTAAGAGTTTATAAGTTCCTGAGTGTTACCTGGGGAATAAAAATGTCTAGTTCACTTCAAGGCCAAAACAGATGAATAAATAAAAATCAAGATAGCAGATAAGTGACTGTGGATTCCAGGGGCAGAAGAGACAATACTAATTCTTACATACATAGCCCTTGCTGTAAGCCAGGTACTTTGCTCAGCTGTACACATATTATGAACTCATTTAGCCTTTACAATAATCCTCCATTTTATAGATGAGGCACCAGCGTTAAGTAACTTGCCTGGTCAGTTAAATAGCAGAGCTATTTAAGTGGTTAAGACCCAGACTTCCCAAACCCAGGGAAGTCTGGGTCTTAACCACTGAGCCTCAATGGAGTGAACAGAAGAGACAAAGTTCTTGCTGCCCCCTTCTCACAGAAGAGCCTCTCCAAACATTTGAATGTCCATCCCCTTTGCAGCTGGGTGTCCCCACCCCATCCCTAAGAGGTTCTTCACTTACTCCGGGAAGGCTGGCAACACATTGACTGATTCTTCCTGGGAGAGGACTTGATAGGAAGGGATAGAGTGCGAGTGTGGTGGGTATCCCTGGGGCCTGGGGAAAGAAAGCAGAATCCTTTGATGCCAGTTCTTCTTCTGGACACCCCCAACCTCTGCCTCAGGATGAGGAACCCCTTTCATGGGAAGGAAAATTCCCTCCTTCAGTCCCCAGCTCTGGCTCTCCCAGCTGCCCACGCAGAGAGCCTGCCTGCACAGACCACTTATTCCCATCTCTCATGCTCCTTACCCCATATCTGGGCTGAGCTGCATGTTCATGGGGTCAGGAGCCATTCTAAGATCATAAGTGGGCAGCATAGTAGACATATGGGCCTCTGGAATGGGAAGTGGCTGGTCCCTGGAGGAGGGAAGGGGATACCTGTAACTGACCAATTGTTGATGCGGCCACCCCTTCCTGCAAGTGAGCACCAGGCCTCGCCCATCCTCCTCACCACCACACTCACCTTTCCACAGTCATCTTGATGGTAGCTGGGACGTAACCCCTGCCATCCTTGCCTATCTGTTCGTCTGTTGTGGGAAGAAAGGAGAGCTATGGAGTGCTCCAGGGTTAGGCTGGAGAGGAGGTGGGAAAGGTGGATATGGCTGATGGGCAAGTGGGAGAAGTGGAGCTACAAACATGGGGTGGGAAGTCAGGGCTCCAGCTTACGCTTATAGTGGCTCCGGAAAGCCTCATCCTTGGGTTTCTTGGGGTAGAGGTTTTTGAGCTGAGCGAGGTCCCGGATCCGGTCCCCCAGGGAGCGGATAGACAGGTCTTTGGCAGAGAATGGCTGGATGTTTTCTATCTGTGGGGAACCTACGGCAGGAATGGGACCCTGAGCCCCTCTGTCCAAATTTTCTTCCCCTTTCCAAGCCCCACACAGAACTCAATCTACCACGGCAGGGAGGAGTGGGCCTCCAGCGGGGTCCTGGGGAGGGGGGCCCACTAGCCTCCATTCCCAAAAAGCTCACAGTGAGAAAGTGGAAGTTTTGACCACAGAAGGAAGAAGAAAAGTTGGGACTAAGGAAGAACTTTCTGAAGACCGGAATTTGCATCAAGGATAAAACATATCCTTCTCAGAAGAAATTGCAGAGGGCACAGGCACAGACAGGACTGGCTGGAGTGACCTCACCATCCTGGCCCCGGATGACGTGGGCAATGGTGATGCCTCCAATCTCTGAGTCACTGAAGCGAAGAAGGAACGTTCCATCAGGCTCATTGAGAAGAAGGCTGGTGACATACTGTTTGCTGATGAAGCCAATGATCAGCCTGGCCAGAAGGAAAAGATGGGGGTGGAGGCACTGGATGTGAAGAGGGAGCTGGAGGTACAGCTGCTCAGACCACCTGGAGCAGAGACTCACCGATCTGACCAGTAGCTCTTGAGACAGCGTTTGGTGAGGTCCAGGACACCATCGAACCACTGCCAAAAGGTGAAGCCACGACCCAGCAGGATCTCCTGTGGGGGAGGGTGGAGCTGGTGTGAGCTCATGAAAAGGCCAGAGCTGGAGCCTGGTTAGGGCTGTGAGGCCCACATGACAGAGTCACAGGGCTGAGGGACCAAACTGGACCTGAGACTCCATCAATGATAATGACCAATACTCAACGTTCACTATGTGCCAACCATTATCCCAAGCCCTTACCATAAATTAATTTATCTGATCTTTACAAGGTTATGGAGGCAGGTCTTATAGTTATCCCATCCTATCTAATAAAAGAGTAATATGCAAATTAGCTGTCATTCCACCACAAAGATGGCAGCACCCATAGAGGCCAGGGCAGGACGCTGATGGCACTGCCCGGCAATGCAAGCCCAGCAGGCAGGCACGGCCTGCAGGCAGCACCCAGAAGGGCCTGCTTGCCCATTGCCGTGGTGTGGAGCAAACAGGCCCCACAGAGAGCAGAGAACCACGGGGAGTGAGCCTAAGCCATCAGTAGGACATCCCCTGAGGGCTCCCAGATTGGAGAGGGTGCAGGTCGAGCTGAGGGACACGCCCCCCCCCCGCCCCATGCACGAATTTTGTGCAGTGGGCCTCTAGTCTTAGAAATAAAGAATGGAAGCCCAAAAAGGTCAAATAATTTGCCCAGGTCCACATAGCTGGTGAACTCCCAGCTTTGCCCAGGAAGTCTGGGCTGGAGTTCCTCATAACCACTATGGTCCACCCGTCCTTAATGAAGCCTGGTGGAGTCCAGAGAAGGCAGCTGCCTGCGGGTGTGAGTGTCTGGCTTCCTTCGCTAACACATTCTCTGGTCATGTAGGCTTTACTTTCTTCCTTTTTTTCTAAGTGAGCAGAACATGACTGCATTTACCCAGCTGGTGGCCAGTCAAGACACCCAGATTTCTTTTCCCCCCTGTTCTTGTAACAGACCCAGATCTGAGCCATCTTATTTTGGAGGGAATAAAATATAGTAGCTAAGAGCAAGAGTCAGAAATATGGGGTTTCATCCCAGCTATGCCACTCACCTGCTGGGAGGCCTTAGACACACCATTTGGCCCCTCTGAGTAATAGGTTCCTGGTCTAAAAATGATGATGAAAATAGTACCTACCTCAGTGGGATGTTGGGAGGATTAAGTGAGATAAATATGTAAAGTGCTAAGCACAGTGCCTGGCATGTAGTAAGTTGTCAGTACATGGTTGCTGATACTACTGCATGTCCCTGTGGGATTTTGTCCTTGTTTTTGCAATAGGAACTATTTTACCCCTGGGTTCAAGTTATTTTGAGCTGTGTTTACACACAGGCTGGGTGAGTCATACAAGTCACTGGTAAAGAGGGAAGGCAGGGGGTTCCTAATCCAAACCCTGAGGGAAGCCAGAAAATGCATCCTCTGGGCTGATGGGATTTCCTGCCATGACAAGGCCTTCCTGATGGACATGAAAGGGCATGGTGAAGACCCCAGCCTTTAGTCCCTGGGCAGAGATTGGGGACACCCTGAAGAGATGAAGAGCTTAGGGGTGGGATGTCCGAAGGACAGGGCAATGACCTTGTTGAACTGTGACCAGGACACAGAACGATGCTGGAAGGTCTCTATGCTGAGGCTGTTGTCATTGAAGATCTTCTGGGCCAAGAAGAGGAAGTGCTCTGGGAGTAGCCCCTGGTTGGTTCCCACCTCTGCCATGAACTTGAGGTTCAGAGTTTCACACATCTTCTCCCATGGCACCCGCTCAGCCACCACAAAGGGCACACGGTCCTGGGTGAAGGGGAAAGGAGAGGGTGCCTCAGGCGACCACCCTCCTTCTTACTCAAGAGGGGCCTTCATTCTTTCCGCCTCCCCAAGGCTGCCCCTCCCAGGTGTCCCCCTGAGCTCACTCACAAAGATGGTGCTTTTCTAACAGTTTAGGGTGCTGCAACATGATATAGTTAAGACCGGTATGAAAAGAGGTCAGAAGTGCAAAAACAGGTCCATGAGAAGTTAAGGTCACTCCCATTTGAACATGCCTGCTAACCTACCAGCTTGTACCCCATCCCCATGTTAGAGCCCCCCTCCCCCCAGTCTTTCCTCACCATCTCCGAGAAGGCATTGTCCCACAAGATGGTGGCTTTGGCATTGTTGTCTTGGTTGCCGTGGACGATGACCACCAGGGGCAGAGAGAGAGCCTAAGGGAGTGAGGAGAGGGGCTTCTTCTTATTGGGGTAAGGGGCTTCCTTAGAGAGCTGGCTCTGAGGGGGAAGTTTTGGACTCACACAGCATAGTTAAAAGATCATGGTAAGTTTTCAAATGCTTTCTAAAGCTCCATTAGGGCCTCAGTATAGAGAAGTGATTGTGAGTCAGTGCCATGGAGCAGACCTCCAGGTCTCCAATGCCAGCTCCAACACTTAGTAGCTCTGTGACGGGGGCAAATTCCTCAATCTGTCTGTCTCAATGTCCTCATCTGTAAAATGAGGCTAGTAATACCACCCTCCTCATACTGTTATTGTGAGCACTGTGTGTGTGTGTCACTTAAAATAGTGACCTGTAAATGGTGCTATCTGCTACTACACTGTTATTCCACGGTATGTGCACTCCGTGTCCTTGCTCCTCCCCGTGCATCCTGGAATGAGTGACAAACACGGAGGGTATGAGGCAATCATGAAGGTACGGGGATTGAGGGCCCCAGTGTGTAGCATGGAGGGGCACTGGGGTTCCAGATTGGGCAGGGCTGGGGCCTTGGTTCACCTGGAGCTGGATGGGAAGTTTGTTGGGGCCAAGTATGAAGCTGGTAGTAAAAAGCACAGCGCACTTCTCCTCAGTGACCGATTCGGTGCCCTTCCGCTCACACCGCTTGATTTTTTTCAGAAGCTGCAGGATGGGGTGAGGGAGAGCAGGAGTGAGGACAGAAACTCCTGGGCCCCAACACCCTCTCCAAGGTCCCACATCCCCCCGCCCCCTGCCACTGCTTCCTGAAGCCCTCACCAGGTTCTTGAACAGGGCAGAGCAGCAGTTCCCAGAACCAATGTTCTCGAAGGGCACGGTGTTGTTGGTGATCTCCCCAGAGCTTTCTCTGCCAGGGGAGGTCAGAGAGTGAGTGGGCTGGACCAGGTGTGGAGAGGAGCTTGAGTCCACGGGTGAATGGCGTGGACTTCCGGCTCCACATCTCCATTTCCCTGCCTGGGTTCTTAAGGGAGGCATCCCATCTAGGCCGAATCATGACGCCTCCCCCACCCTATCCCAACACTGATGCGACCCTCCCCTTCTGCCTTCATCACTCATCCCATGGCCTTCCCTCCCTCCTGAAGGTGCCGGTCCCCCAAGCTCCTCTGGCCTTCTCCACCCAGCTTACACGCCAGCCCCAGGCCCCTGGGGGCTGCTCAGCTCCCTCGCCTGCTTCTCAGTCACCATGTCGGCCCTGACCAGCGGGAACTTGGCAGAGGCCCCCAGGAACCGTAGACCCAGCATGAATCGAACTCCAGCCTGAAACTTGGTTTGAGTTTTCAAAACCTGAGGGGGCTGCTTCTCCACGAGGAAGGAGCTGAGAGGAGGGAGGACAATGAGGTGTTAGCGTCAGGGGTTCCTCCCGGGAGCCCTCCCCACAACTCTAACCCTCTTTCTACCTTGGGTCTGCTCTAGGCCAGGCTGGGGCTCACAGAGCGTACCTGGTGACGAGGGTTCGCAGGACTTCATCCAGCCGGTTAATCAGCGCTGCCCGGGTCTTGGGCTCAAGCTCCCCACCAGCTGCCCCCACCTCCTGCTGCAGCTGGGAATAAATGTCCACCAGACTCTCACACCTGGGGGTAGGACAGTGGTCAGGGGGCACAGGATTCAGGCTAACTGCTCTGGCCGAGACGCCCTGCCCTTAAGCCCAGGAAGAAAGCAGAATAATGTGTGTGGATGGAGGGGGATGGAGTCAGATTTACTGTCTTGGTTTAGTTTTTTGCAAGTTGTATTTTTCAAGGAATTTCTTCAAATCATTTGACAAATTTCGGGGTGGGGGGAATGGACAGTGGGTGTGGCTGCCAGCGCCTGGGCTGAAAGGGCTCTGGGTGGGAGGTTCCTGTGGAAACGCAGCTGACTCTTCCCCAGGGCTCTGATACCCAGGTCAGCTGCCAGCAAGTTAAAAGATGCTCTACCCAACAGGCCAAATAGAAAAAGAATTCCCATTCCTCTGGGCATGGGGCTTGAACAGAAAAGTGTGGGGTGGATGAACTCCCACTTGCGCCCCTTTGGTCGGGCGTTTTTGTGCAGGACACCTCTCTGAACAACAGGGTGCATAGCTCTGCTGGGACTGGCTTCTGAGTCTTGGCCCACTCCAAGGCCTCTCACACCTGTGTGGGTCCTTCAGCTGCTCAGT